CATTACTTTACCACAACTCCGAACATTTTTAACTGCTTAAAATAATGAAACTTTTATAGTTATTGCTTTATTTTAAACTATTTATTTTTCACATTTCTATTAACTTTTTTTATTTGCTAACTTAAATTTTATTTAAATAGAATTTTCACTATTAAAATTACGTGATATAAGAGCAATTTTATCATTTTAGATATTTCTTAAGTAAAAGAAAATCCAAATAAAAGTTTGCTCTGCAATATGTTCATAAATAATGTTGCACAAAGTCATTAACATTGTAATCCAATGCTTGAATATATTGTATCCATATATCTAATGGAATTTAACTAAATGCTGTTAATAACTTCGAAGGGGCTTTTATGATTTAATGTTTTAATTATATCTGTAGTGTGTTTACGTTTTTACATTAAAAGCACACAACATGCAATAAACTTACACAAGATAAAAAATATTTTAACTTCATCTCAGAGTAGAAGGAAGATACCCTATAGATTTATAAGTATTTTCTTTTCATTTTGTATTCTTTTTATTATTGAATTTGTAGTGTTATAGGTAGTGTTTTCAATATGCCGAGCCACATGCCTGCTAATTGCAGTGCACTGCTCCTCTTCCATATGCTATTTTGTTCAAATTGATATCCCATTGAAAGCAACAGCCGAGGAGCATACTCAATGGAAGTGCAGCATTAAAAATTATTTGAACAGAATTAATGTAGGAAAGATTAAGTTCGAAATGGAAATTATCTTTTATAAAGTACATTGCTACCAAAAGCAAGTCTGTCGATAAACATAGAATTGCGTAGTCATTTCGTAAGATTACAGTAGCAAACAATATTTCTTTTTCTTTTCAATATTTACTAATGCTTTTGTTTTATTGAACTCATTTTTAATGCGTTATTCTTCGTAATAGAATTTATTTGATTTACGAGTACAAAATTAAGCAATTATTTTTCATTTAATGAAATTACTGATTTTTACTTTTAGTAGGCAAAATTTTTTGTTGAAAATGCACAACCTAAATCCATGTAGCCTAGATACTTATTTAAAAAGCATGGTGTGTTATAGTAGTCGCATTTTATTTGAATGACAAAGTCAATTTTTATTTAAAGTTGAAAAAATTTATTTAAAAATTTTAAAAATTATGCAAATTCATTGTAAGAAATTTCAGTAGACATCTGGAACATTGCCGCTCTATTAGCATAAACTAGTCTAGTACCCTCGCCTTGGTGTCGGCAAAATTTTACGTCACTTCGATGCGCACGCGTTTCAGAGTGAAAATGAAAACTGCACTTGTCATACCGGTTTACCTTTTTTCTTTATAATTTTTATACACATTTTTTTTATCTTTAGTTTGTTGGATTTTTAGAAAATACAATTTTGATTACAATTTGCTTGCACATGTGAGCATAATTGTATATGCCAAAGATGTGTTAACGTTTTTTAATATAGTCAGTCATAAACGTGATTTTCAAGCGGCATAAAGCTATCAATACTTTTACTATCATTTGTTTATTGCTGCTGCTGCTGTTGTTGCTATTGTTGTTGTTGTTGTCCAAATATTTTTACATGGTTAAAAAGGCCAATGACATGCATTTTGGTACGCTTATGCGCACCTCCACCTCAGTCTGATATGTGGCACTGAGATTGCACGCATGACGTTGAACTTAGACAAAATTCAAACAAATTATGAGCATTGAAGAAGCACGTTGTATGCGCCAATGTGGCGACAGTTGTATTACATTGGCACAGCAGCAGTGCATCATTGGCAACATCATTAATTTAACAATGCACTCCTGGTCTGCTTTTGCCTCACCACTTGACGATATTGCCAACTATACCCCCAACGGTTTGCCGATTTTCTATATCGTTTTGGAAACTCAGCAAATTTATTATATGTATTTTTATAGCAAATATCAATATTTATATATAAGTTCACATGAATTGTTAATTGCAACTATAAATAATTCGGTAAGATGCATTAAATTTTTTTTTCTTTTTATATTAATTATAAACAAAAATTAAAAACTACAAATATTGTGTATGAGTCTGTATGACTTTCTGGCGTTCGTTGCGTATACGTTACATTTTGTTTTGCAAAAATTGTGCAAAAAATTGCGCAATTTAATAACCAAAAATAATACAAAAAAAAAAATTAATGAAACGTAATAATTATTTTCTAATAAGAGTATATAATTTCACTTTCATATTATGCTTATTATAATCAGTAGAAATTACAGTTATTAGTTACATATCTCAAGTTCGTTTCTCGTTTTTGTTATATCTTTATGCAAACTAATTTTAAGTTATTTGTTATAGTTTTATAATAATAGTAGTTATATGAATTTATTTATCTACTAAAGCTTATCACACCACGTATAAAGAGAAATTTATAAATACACAGACTTGCGTCTTTAATGCGCCAAACAAAGCAATTGATTTACATAAAACCGCTAAAAGACTTTTAAATATTTTTAAATAATAGAAGTGGAAATTTATTAAATAATTTTCAGTAAAAAATGTGCTGACGTTTGGTTAGGGACATAAATAATCTTATAAAATGTTAAATTAATTTCGTATTAAAAATTCCAAATAAAATTAAAGACAAAATATACTGAAGATACGTACTTTACGTATGCATTGGATAAAAACATAAACAATCTTGTGAAATGTTATATGAATATCATGTTAAAAATACCAAATAAAATTATAGACCGTATAGGTATATATATACTTTATATACATAAAGTAATGCAATATATTACTTTATATTATTATTATTATTATTATTATTATTATTATGACATGTACTGTACAATACTTGATTGTATAAACTTAGCCTATTCACAAAGAGTTTGTACAAAAACGATATATCTAAGCGATATATCTAATTTCAGCTATTAATTTATTCGTTTCATTGTTTATGGTTCTACACCAAGAATTGCATGGTCGTTCACAGGTTCTACTGCCTTGCGGATTCCAGGTTAGTGCCGCATGAACACATTTTTTGACGAAACTTTGCAGTTTTTGAAGAGATGCTCGTAAAGTGCCATGTTTCACTACCATACAATCTGGAGTGTGGAAATACATGAGGCAGTAGAAAAATTGCATACTGTTTATATAAAGAAAACGTTTAGTCTGCCCAAAAATATCCGTAATTATATGATACATATAGAGACTGGGCTACTGACGATGTATACCCAAATATTGAAATTGCATTTTGATTATGTCAATCATCTTAGGAATTTGCCAGACAATCGGATTCAGAAAACGTTAGCCCAGTACACAATAAATGAAAAAAGATTATTCTTTGAAAAATAATCTGAACTGGCCTCCGAGTTAAATGTGACTACTGATTTGGGTATTGATGATAACTGGAAACTGTGGCAGAAAAATGTAATAATGAAACTAAGTATTGAAGAACGCAGAAATTTTCTAGATAAGACAAGAGACAATATCTCGAGCTTACATATAGTAAGCTGAATCAAGATCTAGGTGTCAATAATTACGTTCACGAGCAAAACGACGTGGAAACAATAAGAACAATCTTCAAAAGCCGTGGCGAGTTCTTAAGTTGAACCTTAAATATGCAACCCTAAATTGGAAGGCGATGTGACACACTTAGTAGGTGAATGCCCAATTATTAAAAAACATAGATTACTGTACCTCGGTAAACCAGCGCTCGCTGTCGATGAAACCGTACTAATAGTGACCGGCTTTTATTAAAAATTTATTAAAATATAGGCAAAAGATTATTAATGAATACTTTTGAATTAATTTATATAAAGTCGGTTATTTTTGTCAGAGTAATTTTTGTATAATTTAGTATTTTTATTGTATAATTGAGTTTATAAGTAATAATATTTATTTAATATTTATGATAAGTAATTAATAGACTAATCTAAACATCCGGCAGACGGCTAAAATACCATAACTGTAAGTTTTATATATATAATACAATTATTATAAATTTCTGTGTAATACAACAGATACAAGGTTCAAACTGAAGTAAAATAAAGCTAATACTACTAATACTATGTAGTACTATGTGCTAATACTATTTTATTCGAAAATAGTACAGTCTTTTAAGGCTCTCATTAAGAAATTTAATTATTTATTTTTAATTAACCCTTAACTAAAAATCTTTATTATTTATTTTTATAACGTACAATTTTTAAATTTTATTTTTAATTAAAAACTGTGCCAAGTTAGTGAACTCTAATGTGGTCTTATCAATTTTTTAAATATGTATATAATAAAAATATTTTGTTTGTAAAACTACAAATTGCAAACAGTTTTAATTAGATTGAAGTTTGTACTTAGTTTTAAATTACAAAATATAATCACATAATTAACTTAAATATACATTATTTAAATTATTATCTCCTTTTTAATCTGGTTGACGTTAAAAAAATACTATACTCGTAATTTGTATTTAAATTTAATGGGTAAGGAAACGGAAGTGCAGAAAAAGGTACACTTCCGAAATAAAAACAAATTTAATTTAAGCTACAATAGCTTAAATCGTATTTTATAAGTTTGTATTTAAGTACACAATTTCAAGAACACACAGAAATTAATTTGAAATATCGAAGGCTATGTTAAATACGACTTAAGAATTAAATTCTTGAACTTTTATTTGTTTTAATATATTAATCAATTGCTATTCTTCCTTCAACTACCGCCTCAAATACCTTTTTCGCTGGAGCATTAACTCACTCACTGAACTATATCAATACCTTTTTCAAATACTTTTTTCGCTGGAGCATCTTCAACCATTCTCACGGCACGATCAGCAAAACCGCTGGATGTTAATTCGCTGAATTATATCAATATCGTGATAAAGCTTGTGGTTCATACGTAAGCGGTAGTCATCCAACTCGTAAATCTTACGATGAACTTTTCTCTCAAACACTCCCAGTGTTACTTCCTCATTCTATGATAACGTCCATACTTCTACGCCATACAGAAGCTTAGGAAGGTTGGCCGACCTATAGAGCATAAATCATGTTTGTCGAGAGGGAGAGCTCTACATCTCAGTTGCCTACTGAGCTCATAGTAGCACCGATTAGCAAAAGTGATTCTTCGTCTAATCTGCAAGCTGACATCATTATTGATCGTAATGGCAGTGCCAAGGTATATGAGTACCAGTAGCCGACATATACTTCGTTTTGCCCCCATATAAGATATATGAGATATGATATATTAGATTTAAGTTTGTAAGACTGTTAGAAAATTTTAGGAAAGTATTGAAGTTTTAGTTCTGCTATATTGACAAACAGTTCACGCTTCAAAAATTATTCAACAGCCGTTAAAACAAAATACTGCAAGTTCTAATTATAAATACTTTGCAATAAATTTTTTTTTTGAATTTGTCTTCAATTAATTCAACTTAATTCATCCCTCTTACTTATGTATTTTAATTATTGTTCTGAATATTATAATGTTCTGAAACAACTGCTGTAGTTGTAGTTGTAGTCTTCAAAATGATCTAAAATTTATATTTTTCTTATCTTCGTTCATTTAAAATTTTTTTATTATATCACTTAAATTAGTTTCTATATACACTATTGATTTCTTTAGCTTAAGTATTTTAGTCAAACATGTCTTCGTATTTGCTGCAAATAAATTTTGTAACAATCTTATTTATTAATCTTATTCTAAGATAGAAATATCAAATTCTAATTCTTTTCACAGATTTTTAAGATCCGTTTGGTATTGGTACTTGTTCCACTAAGTTAATCAACAATACCGGAAACAAATTATTGACATCTTATAATTATGCATGAACGACTATATTTTAAGCTATTATTTTACAAATGACTTGATATTATTTAACAAACAGTTTTTTTGTAAATTGAATACAATGGAACAATACCACCCCACCGCGAAGGTGTGTTTAGCAACATTTTAAAATATTCAAATTATTTAACAAATTGTTACTATTACTGTTGTTATGGCATTTACTTTTTCATTTTTATTTTGCTCATTTGCATTTTTAATAGTTTTCCCCTTAATTTAGCTAATTTGATATTGTTCAATAGCATTTTAAAAGTTTTTTTAAACATTTTTGCATTACAATAATTTCGATAGAAATGCCAAATACAAATTGTAATAAAATTTAAAAAAAAATAAAACAAAATTAAGTGAATGGCAGATTATTTAATTTATACATAAAATTGCATGATTTCGAAATATGTTATTTTGACTAAAATGTATATTATATTATTCGCTTTTTACGGTTTTTTTCTTATAAAAAGTAAAACACAAAGAAATCTTTGTAAAATTATTTTTAAAACAAAATCAAATATTAACAAAGTTAATTGTGGAATTAAAGTCTGCACAAAATATAAAATTATATTGTATATGGGCATCATTTGCAAAAATTATATTTATTAAATTAATCTTATACATTACGACAAAAAAGACAATTCTTGTGATCAAACAAAAAAAGAAAAAACAAATAAAATCCACAAAATTCATAAATTAAGGTATTAAGAATTACATCATCTTCTGCAGCTCTGTTATATTATATATAAATACCATATTTATTTATATTACTTGTATATATATTTGCAAACATATATTTACGTATTTATTATGTATAATTTGTTTTTTTTTTTTAATTCATATATATATTAATAATTTTACAGTTTTTAACATATTTAACAACTTCCGTTCACATTAGGTGAAATTATTTTTATTATCATTTCTTCATATATTTAATTAACGATACATGAATATATGTCTATATACATACATTGGCGAATAATGAATATTGTAGAAGAAAATTTGTTGCTAAACATGTTTGTTAACAATTTTATACATTTATTGTTTTATTGCTTACCGCTTCATGCTTGCTGTGCCTGTTGATAATTTCATTATTAAAAATAATAATTTTTTGTTTTATTACTTTAGCAACAAATGTAATTTGTCAAATAAATGTCAGTGCTTTGAGGCAAAAATGTCAATCACATTTTGTGCCACCAACAGTTGCGCATAATATTAAAAATGTTTATGAATAAAACTGTATACATAAATGTATACAACAAATCTGACAAGTAACTTAAATGTCACTGTTGATACGCTATGAAATGTTGCAATACAAATCTAGTTATGTTTATTTTTCAGAAATTCAATGCTGTCAAAAATTGCTAATTCGTATTAGAATGAGTTTCTTATTAATTCTTATGAATTCTTTATAAAATATTTTATCACCTGTATATCTATGAGTCCTAGACGTTTTACTTGGTTACCTCCAGCATTGGCTTAACGTCACGGTAAACATCCCATTGGAATAAATTCCGCCAATAACAATGGAAATTCTATAACTGGATATAACTACCTACTTGTTGAGGAGTTACACCTGTCTTTAACTATGCTGCTCTTTGGATCACTCTACCAGGTTGAGGAAATAAAAAATTACACTTAATGAAAGTATAAATGCGTAAACTCGTTCTGAATAACTTTAGAATATTGAGGAAGTCAACCGAAGTTGTCACCTCTTATATACCATAGTACCAGCTACAAACCTCTGGTCGGGTGTCGCAAGTGAACCTTCTCCCTACTGGTTATACTCGAAAGCAATACATAATGGTGTCCGAAAGATAGTAACCATTTCTTTCGATATAGAAGGTGTAGTTGTAGGCAATTCAACCAACACTGAAAGTTAATCCAATCTCACGACAACCGATGTTATGGCCCCCTAGATACCGTAGAACCTCAGGTCGGGTGTCGCAAGTGAACCTACTCGCTATCGGTTATACTCGAAAACAATATATGATAGTGTCCGAAAGATAGTAACCATTTCTTTCGATAGAGAAGATTTAGGTGTAGTGTTTTATGTTTGATTGCACTAGATACGAGGTTGAGGTTGTAAAATTCTGATCACTTCGCTTCGCTTTTGTTGGGAATAGAGAACGAAAAACTCGACAAACGAAAAAAATTGATTGACTCTGTCATGTAATGATTGACCAAAATCAACTCCTGTTTGTTAACAATTTCAAAACTGCTAAAAAGTATTTAAAAAGTAAATACAATAATTGCCAATTTAGATTTTAAGTAAAATTCTATAATTTTTATAAGTGCTGTACGAATTTCTTTTATCAATAATAAATAACAATAATAATACAGTAATAACTAATTTCGAAGCCAAAACTAATTGAATTCCTTGTTTATAAATATTACAAACTTCTGCTGTAATTAATTACTAATGCATTAAAATGTTTCACATAATTATTTTCAATGCATTATCGATTTTTAGATGCTTAAAAAAAATTAATAAGCGCCATCTGTTCGTGATTTTGTCATCACACTTTTTGTAGCAAATCCAGTATGTTTGTTGCTCATACGCTATGTGGTAAGCATAACATAATTGTAGTAAAATAAATTTGTAATTCATTCTCTGCGTATTTGTTTTTAATACATACTAGTATTATATTTACAATAAATAAAATAACAAAAATCATTTGAATTACAAGCGTAAAATTGCATCAATCAATTTTAATATATACCAGTTTAAGACACATGCACGAAAGTCAGGCTGTGCGCAGCCGGCGCTGTTATAAGTGTAAGTAACTCGAAGAGCCATGACATCAATTGAACTGCATTCGAAACGCTGATTTACTTGTTGATTTTTGCTACTGTTGTCTGCATTGTTGCCAGAGCTTGTAAATGTTGTTAATGCGCATGTATACTTTGACTTATTTGTACATTTCTCTGTTTCGCATAACATGCCGCCGCCGACGACATCAACATTATCATCGTCGTCATTATCAGCTTCATCAACATCGGTAACGTTGGCAACATCAAATGTTGATATTCAGACAAAGTGCAGTAACGTCATCACAATTCCCAGCGGTTTGTCATGTTTCTACACTTTGTTTATATAAAATTTGTTGCTACTGTTTTAAAAGTTTCTCTATTGTTGCCTAAAGCAAACAACATTGTTGGTGTTAATATTTTTTTAATGCCTTTTTCAAATGTTTTTTAAATTGATAGAATAAAACAAAAAAAAAAAAGGTTGAGCTAAAACATTAATAAATTAATGTATACATATATATTTGGAATTGTTATTTTTTTTGTATTTGGTTTTGTTTAACAGCTAAAACGTATTAAAAATGTTTTCATTGTTAAATTGGCAAAGTTTTCAATTTCCTGCTTAACATTTATTTCATACACTAGTGTATATAACAAAAAAGTTTTTATTAAATTAACTATATATATCCAATTTGGCTTATTGCTTAATAAAGTTGTAAAGTTAAGTAGTACACAAGAAAAGACAAGCAAGTAACTGGTTGACGGACTGACAAGTGCGTCAACATAATTACAATTGCCAACCAGCAGCATTTTTTTGTTTGCAATAATTAAGTAATTACAAAGAAAAAACTATCTGTATTAAAACATAAAATAATAATAAATTGAAAATACACGCTCAAAATAAACGCAATTCGCGTGAGAAAAACATTTGAGACGGGTGTGTCAGCCTGCATACCTGCCTACCTGCCTACCTGCATCTATTGTATGTCACTTGCGTGCTTTAGCAATGGAATTATAGGCTTCAGCTTCAGTGCAAGTCGGAACATTTTGTAATAAAACTTCAACTCGTCCACATAATTAAGTTATAATTAATTTGTTGTGTAAAGCAAACAAAATGTAACTGCTCTGACGTTTCATTGAATATTTTTTTATTCAATATTTTTTTATTAGGTCAACAAAAAACTGGTAACAGAAATTTACTAAATAAAATTAAATGTTGTTAATTTTGTTACTATAATTAACACTTATCATCAGTTGATTCCTTTTATGAGAACTTTAAATTTGGAATAATACACATCGATATGTAGACTAAACAATTTCGTGAACATATAAATTATGTTATTTAAAATACATAAAAAAATTAATAGAGATGTTTCAAAAAGTAGTGAACTACAACAACAAAAATTATTATTATGTCATTTTAATTAATTGAATTTTAAACTATTCAATTAAAAACTAAAACTAAATATATTTAAACTATTCATTAAATGAAGTTTTATAAACATTAATAACATATTAGTTTTTAAAATATATAGAATGTAGGATATAACTTAAGGTCAGTGTAGTTTAAAGATTTTTATATCTTTAAAATATCTAAA